GCACCTACTCCAACAAGGCCACATGTCCTAATCCTTTCAAATAATGCCACTTCCTATTAGTCAGTGGGGACCATTTTCATTCAAATTACTAGGCTGTGAGTTTATATGTGTGCCAGTACTGTTAGGTTAGAAAGACTTGATTCCTTAGTGTCCTCCATCCTCTCTGACATTTCTTCTTCTTCTTCTTCTTCTTCTTCTTCTTTTTCTTCTTCTTCTTCTTCTTCTTCTTCTTCTTCTTCTTCTTCTTCTTCTTCTTCTTCTTCTTCTTCTTCTTCTTCTTCTTCTTCCAAAGAGTTCTCTCAGCCCCAAGGGGAGCTATTTGATGAAGACTTTCCTTTTATGGCTGAGTGTTCAAAGATTTCTCACTCTGCATATTGATTGGGTATGGATTTCTATATTTGTTCACATCTATTGCAGGAGGAAGAGTCTCTGATGATGGCTGAGCAAGGCACTGATCTATGAGTATAGAAGAATTGTTTTTTTTTTTGCTACATTCATCTAGATTAGTTAATTTATTTGGCTTTATCCTAGGTCCCTGGTCTATCTAGTCTTTGGTTCTTGGCCACCCAGGTGGTGTTGGGTATGTGTTTTATATCATGAAGTGGGCCTTAACTCAAATGAGATATTGATTAGTGGCATCCACAAGTTTTGTGCCACTTTTGAACCAGTGAATCTTACAGGCAAGTCACTCTTGTGTATAGAAGGGTTTCTATCCTTTGGTATCAGACAGAGTACCTTCTGGTACCATGACTACTAATCCATAGTGGTGACAGCTCTAGGTACATTTCTTTGTGTTCAGCAGTGGTACAGATGTTGTCTTTGACAATAGGGACTCACTCTCAGTTTTTGGAGTACTATCAATAGTGGCTATATTTTGCAGGAACATATGAGTTGTCATTCATCAGCACTTGGCATTGATTTTTTTTTCCACCTTTCTTACAGTTATGCTAACAAATGTGTAGTGTATCTCACATGGTGGTTTTATTAGCATTTCACTAATGACACTGAACATCCTTTGATGTGCTACTTAGCATCTGCATCTCTTTTGCCCCTTTACTGTAGTTGCTTGTTTGTTTTCTTATTGTTGAGTTTTTAGAGCTCTTTGCATATTGGCTACAAATCCAATGTCAGGAGTAATTACAAGGATTTTCTCCCAGTCTGTATTTGCCTTTTTGGTCTTTTGATGGGGTTATTTTGTAAAGAAAAATGCCTTTATTTGGACAAAGTTCAATTAAGGTTTGTTTGTTGTTTGTTTTTTGGATTGTGCTTTTAATTTGTTCATCAATTTTCAAATTTCAATCCTTGGATTTTTATGTTGAAAGCAAATTTTGTTTAAAAAGACAGATGAGAAAGAAAAGAACAAATTTCTTTAGATGACTTACAAATAATTCATTAACTCTATCTCCTAAATATGAATCAAGTAGAAAGATATCAGAGAGGTTATGCAGGAAGAACTAAGATTAGATGCACAAGGCAAGGCTCTGATGATAATATTCACCACATAGAACTGGGATCCGTGGACAATAATGTGTTAAAACAGGAGTTATAATACATCTGGCGTATGCATTTAAAACTTTATTTATTCTCCCATGTATTTACTTAACATTTTCTCTGAGCACCTGCTATGAGCCAAGCTCTAGGGTCTACATGGGTATACACAGAAGCATGTAATGAAAGACGGAAGTGCCGCTAACTGAATAAAGAGAAAGACTGTAACACAGCTCGCTAAGAAATGTGACAGACACACGTTCAAAGCAAACCTGGCTTCTTTATGTAGATGTCCTGATTCCATCACGCTTATCTCAGTATGAAATTATTTGTTTGTGTGACGACTTGATTTAAAGTCTGTCTCTCCTGTGGCACACTCCAGGAGAATAAATACGATATATGCTTCCTTCATCGTGCCTGACACGTAGCAGGATCTGGATTAATAATCATTGAATAAATAAAGTGCTTGTTCTGGAAGCGTGGTGAGGAGGGGTGCCAATTCTGCCCCTGGTAGCTCTGATTAAGAAGGTGACACTGGAAGTGAATCTTGAAGCAGAGCTAGAAACTTGCTGTCAGAGAGGTAGAGGGGTGTCCTATGCTTCTGTGATGTCTCAGACATAGGTGACTGTCCACCTTGCCTCAGGGGATGAGGGTCAAGGGGGGTCACCATGAGAGGCTGGCTCGCACAGGGAAGGTCAGAGAGAGATGGCAGCATGGTGACCACTAGGTAGAATGGGTTAAAGGCTGTTGTACATTCTGGTCAGACAAGGTGAGGATGTCAGTGTCAGTTGAGGGGTCAAGAAGGGACTAATCTTAGAGCTACTCTACAAACAGGATTATGGGTCTTGATGGTAAGATACAAACAGTGGAATAGAAGGATTTAGAATTTTTAGCTTCTCTGATGCCTGAGGAGTAATGGATATTGGTAGTTGATCAACATTTTTCTAATACTAAATTTTTATTAGAAAGTACAACAAACTACAAAGAATGAAACTAATAATTATCCATTATTTTAATATATAAAGATAATCTGGAGTTTAACATGCATGTCCTTTGTTTATTCTGAAATACATTACATAAATCAGCCTATGGATTTAACTTTTCTCCTTCTAGCCTCATCAAGTGTTATAATATAGCCGAATGTCAACAATAACTTCTCTTTTTCTTCTTTCTTTCTTTCTTTCTTTCTTTCTTTCTTTCTTTCTTTCTATCTTTCTTTCTTTCTTTCTTGTCTTGCTTTTGTTCTCTTTATTCTTGAGACAGCATCTTCTTATGTTGGCCTGGCTGGCTACATAATATCACTCACTATGTAATATCAAGTTGGCTTTGAACTCATAATGAGCTTCTCACCTCTGCCTTGTGAGTGTTGGGATTAGGAGCATGAGCTACCATGTCCACTCTGAACATTATTTAGAATCCAAAGATTAAGATTTTACATAATATCTTCTAAATTCATTAATTAATTTTTGTGATGATATGCATCAAACCAGGCTTCTTAGATGCTAGGAACGGGTTCTATTATTAGTTAAAGGCCTAGTCCTGAATACTTTTTTTTTCAATAAGGTGAAGTAGGCTTATAGTAGAGAACTGCCAAAGCCAGAAGTTTTGCTGTGGCAGTTGTTAACACCTGACACACTGTCATTAATCACATATTTTAATCTACAGGTGTAACCTGCCCACATACTTAAAGTTCCCAAGATAGGGATATATCCCAAAGAGGCTCAAGTACACAACAAGGACATTTGCTCAACCATGTTTGTGGCAGCTTTATTCGTGATAGCCAGAAGCTGGAAACAACCCAGATGCCCCTCAATTGAGGAATGGATACAGAAATTGTGGTACATCTACACAATGGAATACGACTCAGCAATTAAAAACAAGGAAATCATGAAATTTGCAGGTAAATGGTAGGAACTGGAAAAGATCATCCTGAGTGAGGTATCCCAGAAGCAAAAAGACACACAGGGCATATACTCACTCATAAGTGGATATTAGACTTATAGGATACACCTACTAAAATCTGTACAACTAAAAGAACTAATCAAGAAGGAGGACTCTGGCTAAGTGCTCAAACCCCATACAGAAAGGCAGAGAGGACGGACATCAGAAGAAGATGCAAATTCCAAATGCTGAGCCCTGTGGGAAGCCGAAGACAGCAGCAAATCCTTGTTTGCCAAAAGGGGCACTCATTATTTTCATGGGCTTGAATCCCAAGACTGTGTAAGTGTGCAAAAGCTTGTGCACAAACATAAACTGAGAAAAAAAATGCTGAGGCCCCGAAGCTGTTGATCAAAAATATCTTATTATAGGTTATTTCAAGTGGTGCTGTTGGTGGCAAGACGGGAGACGCTATGTAAAAAGTACATTTTTTTTTTTTTTAATTGTTGGGAGAGAGTATGCTGTGGGGAAGGACAGAGGCAGTGGGATTCAGAGGAGACCTATAATAGTTCCAGAAACAGAGAGCTCAAGAGGACTCTTGAGGGACTCAGGAGGCACACTGTTTTCTTGAGAACAGTCCTACAGGCCAGGCGCAGGCAGAGCAAGCAGAGGCCAGGGGAAGGCTGGTCCCCAGCTTCCCGCCTGAGGGTGGACCCATGGAGTCCTTCCTTGGGTACCCCAGCTCCCTGCCCTCCTTTGGAACTGTCCAGAGGAGTAGTGATGGATCCCAGGCTGAGAAATCCAGGAGTTACTAACGGCAGTTCTTAAGAAAGGGAAAGGCAGGAGGGGCAGGAGAGAGGGGGAAGAAAGAGAGAGAGAGAGAGAGACGCAGAGTTGAGGTGTCTGCGCCGGGTGTTTCTTAGAGAAAGGGTCTGACACTGTAGAATTTTACTCGCATTTCCCTCACCACCCCACACCCCAACATCCTGATTTCTGTGTCCAGTCCAAGTCCTGACTATTTTCCACCGTCCAGCCCACAGCCCATCTTCTCCATTGTGAAAGTCAAGTGGCTTCGGGTGTGGAGCCTGGCCTTTATGCCCAGCGAGTTTCACCCCAAAGAACGGTTGGGTGGGAGATCTGGCCTGGGGCGCTGTCGCTCAGCAGTGGTCGGGACGTGTGGCTGCTGGCCACGGCGAACAGCGCGGCTAGCGGTAGGCGGGGTGGGGTGGGGGCGCACAGGAAAGGACCAGCAACCTGAGCAAACAGATGGCCGTGGATGCTCCGTGGGAACCGGCTTCCCGGACAGGTCCCGAGTGCCCCCCTTTTCCGCCACCTGTGAGCCGCGGTCCTCTGCCTGAGTTTGCAGACTTGACCACAGGGGTGGGGTGGAGGGGCGGGTCTCCGAGAGTTGGGCGGCGCGCGCCAGGCCAATGAACGCGTCCCGCAGAGGGCTCGGCTCCTCCTGCGCGTGCTGATTGGCCCCGCGACCCTCGAGGCCGGGCGCGGGTGGGCGTGGCTCCCCCTCCACCGCCCCACGCCTCCCACCCGCCGCGCTCTCGCCCTCCTTCCCCTCCTGCGCTCCCGGCTCGGGCCGCGCGCACAGGCGGCGCTCCGCATTGCACAGGCGGGGGTCGCCGCAGTATTCCTGGGATGGGGCAACGGGCTGCCTCTGGCGGCAGGGACGCGTGCAGCCCGGGTGAGTATGGGGGTTTGGGGGACAGTCCGGGCTGGGGGTTGTGGGGGGGGGGGTACAAAAGGAAGCGCCGGGTGCGGGCGACCGGGCGTGCCAGCCCCGGCCGGGACTGTCCTGCGGGGCGGGAATCGCGGCCACTGAGCTCCGCGGTGGGCAGAGAGAGCTGAGCGCAGCAGGCAGGTCGGGAGTGCGCCCCGCACGCGCCGCGGAGGGATGCAGATGTCAGGAGCTGCAAGTTCAAGGCTGGGGGAGCTTCCCCGGCTGCGGGCGGCCCGCACACCGAACTCCCGCTGGAGTGAGTTTCCCCGCGGCTGAGCGACCGCGCCCCACGTGTTGCTGCTGCCCGGCTTTGCCCACCCGAGGCGGCTGTGGGAGGTGCGGCCGGCTAGGGCACCGCCCTGCTGCTGGGCCCTGCGACCACCCACCCCGGCGACCCCGGGTGGGCACTGCCGAGAAAGTGGGGACGGCACCTAGACTTGATTTTTGCTCTCTTCTCAGGTTACAGTGGTTGGGTCGGTTCCTATTTGACTGAGCATTTAATTTCAACAGCACCCTATTTGTTAGTCTGTGTGACTCATTTTGATCCCGCCACGGAACTCCTCTTACTGTCACCTGTCCGGTCCCGTGGCTCAAAACTTGATGCTTGGGCATAGTTTTTTATTCGGGATGGACACGGGTATCGCTAGGACGACAATGAACTTGCCATTCTTGGGAACAAGGACTTGTTTTAACTTGGAGGCGCTGGGGAAAAGAGCAGCGATTTGTGTTAGCGATTTGGTGACCCGGCACTGACCACCCAGAGCACAGGACGAAGAGAATTGTAGGTGTGCCCCTTTGGTAAGCTACCCAAGGTGTGACTTCCAAACTTCAGTTTTCTCTGTGGGAAGAGAGGGACTTCAGGTTCTCCTGCAGGAAGTGTTTCTTGTTAAATTGGCCCGTGGTTTCATGTGCTCTGCTCTGGGCAGCTCTGGGCAGCAGTGTCTGGGAGATACCAGAGCAACTTACTTAAAGCCATTACATTTTCTTCCAAGAGACGGGAACTCTTAAGTAGCTGTTAAAAAAATCTGAATCTGTGTCGATTTCTCGAGACAGCTCACGTGTACCAAGTTTGCAAAAGGTATTTGTGCAGTCATCCATGAAACAGTTTAATGTACATTGATGTTAGACCTATTTGAATGCAAAACATCTACACCTTTTTGGTTTTATTTTGCACCTCATCCAAAGGCAGCTAACTGAAGGGGGACTTAAAAGAGGCGTCCTTGCTTAAACAGCAGTTTACAGCACTCTGGTCCTGGGAATGCACAGTAGCCTTCCAAGCTTGTAGGCACACAAAGCCTGCTATGAATAGTACTGTACGGGTTAAAGATATTAGAAATGTTTCCAGACCTACCCAAAAGGGTTGTCATGGGGCTACAGTGTGAAGCTGTTGAGAAGCTTTGTAAGGTGTACGTTTGTGATGTGAAACGAATAATGGGACTCATCCTAGGTGTGTATGACAAATAAAAATGATAGCATATATTGTCTCGTACGGTATAGTTTAGGTGATGTGTTGAAATATCTGTGAGGAAGTAATACTTTTTCACTCCCATTCTCCAGGTGGAGTAATTGAGGCCTTCTGTTTGATTTTTTTTCCAAGGTGAATCATAGTGCTCAAAAAAAGATAGTTTCTGAATTCTTCCCTTACCTCATCTGTATTTCTTGTCCCCGGTCCCTTTTTAAATTCCCACCTTCACGACTTACATGGTTTCTGTTTGCTGGTCTCTGATTTTTGTACCTCTTTTGATAGTTCAACCCGTAGCTCCAGGACATTATGTACCATTGCGGACAGGCACTGTTGTCTGTTAAGTGTCACTTAGCTTCCACTAAAGCGTGGCTGATGGAGACTTAAGGAGAAAGCTAATAATGGCTTTAAGGAACCACTGTTTTCACGAGGTGATAAAGATATGAGTAGTCAGACCCTAAAGAATGGAATGCTCACCGGAGTGTTTCAGAAAGATCAGGGAGCATGCCAGGGATGCCTGAGAAAGGACGCACATTTTCTTCTTCATAAGTAGAAACTCCTCACTGGCTCTGCACACAATTTACAGTGAAACGATGACCGACTTCTTTTTCAGTTCTGTTATTCCTATGACTCAAATCAACCCAGAATTTCTATAGGGAAAAAAATATTCAGCGTTGAAAAGTCTTGGAGAGAGGCAGCGGAAGACACTGGTGAAAGATAGCTGACAGATTTCTGCCTATCTATTTCTTAAGGACCCATCACTTGCAGATACTTTCTTGGCAAATCATGGCCCAGTCTGTTTACTTGGGATAATAGTGTTTAATGAGATTTATGAGGTTAATTTTGTTTGCATTAATGTAGGTGCATATTGACTCTACAAGTCCTATTACTTAGTTAATAGTGGGGGCTTTAGATTCAGGTCTTCGCTGTGAGACTTCAGGAAGTGATCGGACCACTCTACCTTTCGATTTCCTTGCAAGGATGGAAAATGAGCGTATTTCATGCAAGTTTGTTTGTGAGGTGTTTATTGACATTCTGGTGGCAGCGGCTCTGCGCCAGGCGCTGCTGATGGTTACGGCCTAGCAGCTGAACCAGATGTTGTAATGCACTTCACTGTGGGGTGTGGTCCCTGGGAAGTGCCCCATGGCTGGTAGCTGTTGGTACCATCCCTTCATTCAGGAGCTGCTCACTTATTGATTCCTAAATAAAACACAGATTGTAGTATGTAATGAAAAGCAGTTCTTATTCGGCATGGGAGAGGGCATGCCAAAGAAGGAGGTCAAGTACATAACCATCCCATAAAAGGGAATGCAGGGCTCACACAGTGGGGGGAATAAAGGAAATACTTGAAAATCAAGTGAAACTTGAGAAAATGCAGTCTATGGAAATTACCTTATAGGTACCCAAATGTAGTAGGAAAAATAAAGGTCTTAGACCAGAGTGATTTAAAACACTGAATATGTAGGTGACAAGTAAATAAGAGAATGCCCAAATACATGTAATAAAGGGACTATTATTATTGAAGGGCTGGCTTATTAAGTTATTATTACAATATATCACCAAAAAGGGTGATATATTCTTTGTACAATAGATATGAGATGACCAGAAATGAATTTGTGAAAGGTCATTGCGATAGAGAGTTGAGTGCTGTGCAGTGAGGGACTGGTGGACTTTTGTATACCAAACATGTATTCAGAGGCCAAGAGAGACAAAATAGAGTGTAAATGAATTCTTCGCTTCTGTTTCTGCTGAGTAAGATTTCTGCACGTGGGCTCTCTTCAGCAGTCCACACACTGGAGATAATAGATCAAGAAGCAGCATGTGCTCAGAAGACTCCAGACCTGATCAGCAGACTAGATACAGATAAATCACCGAGGCCAGATGACCTTCACCCAAGTGTGTGTGTGTGTGTGTGTGTGTGTGTGTGTGTGTGTGTTCAAGAGGGACACTTGGTTCCTGTGAACATTTGTGAGGCATCAGCTTGTGCCCTGCAGGGCTCCTGTCAGGAAACAAGCTTCAGGAAACATCCTTGGGCCATCGCATCAGACTGTGTCCTTGTGTGTGACATAAGAGTATCAGTTTTAAGAGCAAACAGATGATGATAAATAATGACTTATTTTGGAAAGAGAGAAATTAGGATTAGAGAGTGGATTGGAAAATAGGTTTGTTAAAATGTTACAGAAAATGTGTTTTTTAAATCTTTCAGAAAGCCCTATTAATTGACATGTCCCAGTTTCTTCCCTATTTGCAACCTTTTGCTGGGAATGGGAAGTGGGCCAAGCAGCAAGCAAAGCAGAGATCAGTAGGCACTTCTGAGCAGACAAATAGCCTCTTCCAGGAAGTAGTTTGGACATGGTCATGTTTAACGCCATTGCAGATGTGTGCAGATAATGGGCCACACTTAGGGTAAGGCCACACTGTTCACGCGACTCTATAGGATCAACTTAAAGGACAGCCTGAATGGGAAGGAAAAGAATAAGATTAAAGCCAGAATGGAAGATTAAAGATAAGTGTACTTGAAAAAGCAATTCCTAGTGTGCTTATGGGATATAGTTTTCAAGTCTGTCCCTAGCAGCTAATAGCATAACCGGGTGGTATCTCTAAGCTCTCCTTTTTAATGAAAATGTTCAATGCAAAGAAAAGAGGAGCGTTGGTATGGTGCTATTTTTAAAGGTATGCAATTGAGTAAGTTTATCTAAAATTACCTTGTCTGGTCACCTATCACTCTATAGAAAAACCTTTAAAATATTAGCAATGACTATTAGTCTTTTAAAAACTTTAGCATTAGTGTATGAGTATGTGTACGCCTCTCTCTCTCTGTGTGTGTGTGTGTGTGTGTGTGTGTGTGTGTATGTGTGGTGTGCACATGCTTCTGTGCCCTGTGTGTGCATATAGAAGGCAGAGCAGGACACTGGGTGTCCTCCTCTGTCACTCCTTGGCTTATTGCTTTGAGACAGGGTCTCTCAGTGACTGGAAGCCTGTTCTTTAAGCAAGGCATGATCTGCCTGCATTTACACAGCAAACGCATGCTGTCATTCCTGACTGTTTACATGAGTGCCAGGGAAGCAAACTTGGGTCCTCATGCGTGCAGAGCAGATGTTCTTAGCCACTGAACCATGTCCTCAGCCCTCGATCAAAATTTTCTACAATGCCTGTGATGCATTGCTCTTATAAAGAACTATATTGTAGAAATAGGTATACTGCTCTAAGTGTTGATTTCACGTGGTCTTGCTATAAAGAAGGACTCACTTGAGTGGGGATCAATTTTTTCTTTTCTGTCTCTTAACATTTGGATAAGAGTCTGAGTGCCCACTGCTCTGGATTCTTTCTCTGAAGGGCAGCATGTTGACAAGAATGTTTTCTGGGCTTTTTGTTCGACAGTAGTACTTTTATAGATAGTCACAGCTGGCCAAAACCTAGCGGGGTTCTGTTTGTTGTAGCTCTTAGGCTATGAAGAACCAAGACTTCAGGCCACATAAAAACAGGGGCCAATTTGCTTCTC